CGCTCCGAGCGGGCGCGAGCGCCGCCACGGGCCGAGCAGGGGATCGACTACAGGATAGACTCGCCGCAGAATTCACCGTCTCGTTTTCTTCCTCCTCCTCCTCCTCCTCCTCCTCTTCTTCTTATTCTTCTTCGCATTATTATTCTCATTCTTATTCGTATTATAATTATTATTGATATTATTATTAATATTATTATTTTTATTCCTATTATCATTATTATCATTATTATTACTATTTTTATTAGTAGTATTATTATTCGTATTAGTATTACTCGTATTATTATTAATAGTATTATTACTATTATTATCAGTATCAATATTATTATTATGATTGTTATTATTATCAGTATCATTATTATTACTATCAGTATGATTATTATTCTTATTAGTCGTATTATTAATATTATTTGTCTTCAAATTATTCTTATTAGTCTTCGTATTATTATTCTTATGTGTTTTCGCATTCGTCTTCTTATTATTCTCATTATACTTGTTATTGTTATTACTAGTATTGTTGCTATTATTATTATTATTCGTATTAGTATTCTTCTTCTTCCTCCTCCTCCTCCTCCTCCTCCTCCTCCTCCCCCTCCTCCCCCCAATCTATCAGCAGTCCACGAAGTTCTCATGGATTCGACGAACATATCAAGTGTGGGGTAGATCAGTTCTGTAGTCGATCCCCGGCTCGAGCGGGGGGTTGGGGGGGCAGAACGGCGCACCGACCCAGGCTGGCCGCGGGCTGGGATCAGGTCGCAGCGCGTGCCGGGGGCGAGGAGTCCCGAGAGACGAGCAGGCCCATTGGAGAGCCAGCCGCTTCGTCCGAAGCCGTCGCATCCGGAGGAAATCCTCCGCGACGAATGTATCCCGACGGGCCCGTCCAGAAAACTTCTGGAGGAACTGATCTGAAGGCCGAATCCGCCGACCCCTTGTGGGTCTCTAGGCGTGTGAGATTCTCCCCCCCATTAGCCCCCCCACCTGGGACCCCAAGCCAGCGGGACCCACCGCCGAACGCGCCATGGGAGAACAGAGGGCCCAAAACGAGCCAAGAGGGCACCAAAACGCCTCCCTGACCGTCCAAGAGGGCGACGAGTCGCCGAAATATCCTTCGACCACGCCCACGATGGCTTCCAGACAGCCCCCGGAGCCCCCAAAACGACCCAAGAGGCCCCCAAGAGGCGTCCCAGATGAGCCCCAAGAAGCAGAAATCGTCTCATTTCCGCCGTAAAACATTTATGTTTACCATATTGGCCTCTTGCGGTTTCGCAACGTCCCGCACGGGCCATGAAACCTTCCGTATCCTCCGAGGACGGCCTCGGCAACTGCCGAAAGAGGTCCAAAGAGGGCCCGAAGACGACCCAAGAAAGGCCCAAAACGGCCCACGAGGGCCTCCAGACGGCTCCAAGAGGAAGCCGGGGGGGCAATTTTGTGGTCCTTTGGCTCCAAGATACGCTGATCCTGCTGCAACAGCCTCTCAAGAGGGCCCCAGGGAGCCCAAACCGAGGCCCAAAAGGCTCCCAACAAGCTCCCACACAACCCCCAAGAGGCCCATACACTACCTCCAAGACCCCCCCGTGACGCCTCAAAACCAGATCGTGACTCCTCCTCCTCCGCCTCCTCTCCTCCTCCTCCTCCTCCTCCTCTTCTTTGACTCCCCTTTCGCATCTCCCCCATCTTCCCCCTGCTCATCCTCCTCCTCCTCCTCCTCCTCCTCCTCCTCCTCCACTTTCACCTCTCCACTTTCACCTTCTTTGCGTTCCTCGTTTCATCGTCTTCGTCCTCCCTCTCGCTCGCACCCCCGCTGCTCCTACTTCTACGGGACATGGCACGGGCGCCCGACTGGCATCATTTGCATGCCTTGTATGTCAAGGTGCCCTTCTTCTCGTCACTCGCGACATGGTTCGCGTCCACAGAGAAAGCCGACTCCGGCAATTTCCCCTAGCACTTGCCACTGCACCGAAACGCCTGCCAACTGCGCGACGTGAACCCTGCAAATACCGAAAAGCACCATCAAAACCTTGAACTCAATTAAGGGGTCGGCGGATGTGGCGTAAGCCTATAGAGTCATCCGAAGGCGAATTCACCCAAAGACAAGATCATCTGCACGCAAGTTCATCTGGAGAAATGTATTTATACGATTTCATCCAGACACACTCGTCTGGAATCAGAGAGAAGGCTTTCCAAAATGGTCTCGTCGCGGTCAGGATGAACTGGTCGTCCTCCAGGTAGGGGAGAGCTTCAGCTTCAGGCAGGCAGTGGCTATTCTTGCGCACTCCCCGATCCGCAGCCTCGGCGGCTCCCAAAGTTGGAACAGACGGCATGAGCATGAACTTTCGGAGGACCGCGAGGATTTCTTGAGCGGGCGATGGGTTCCCTCTCTGGCGCGCGGAGCGCGCCAGGGGCGGCGCCAGAGGCACCGCCAAGGGGGGCCTCAGCGCCCATCGAAGAGATCCGCGCGGAGCTCCGGAAATGCACGTTGATTCAGTTTTTCCCGCAACAGTGCTTGCCCTTGGGGCCTCGTACTTCTTGTCTGCAGAACTGAACCTGACTGTTGGTCCAGCGGCTATGTAGCCGCCGACGCCGCCCCGTCGCCGCCTCGTCGCCGCCCGTCGTCTGGGCCTGACCGTCGGTCTGGCGGCTATGTTGTCGCCGTCGCCGCCCTGTCAATTCCACCACATCGAGTGCACCACATTTATTACACGGCATAGGCTGCACAACATAGATTGCAAAACATTGATTGCACTACGTAGATCGCACAACATAGATTCTCCTTATAAATACAAAATAGGATCCACCCACCCCCCTTGGCGTTATCGCTTCACCTTTCGGGTATGTAACTCATATATGATTCTGACCACATGTCCATCCTAAAAATGAATGTACAGTATCCCACGGGGGGCGGTATCCCCCACCCTGAGGTTCCCTTGTAAAAAACACTATGCGGTGACATGTTTTGTTCTAGCATAGCACTTTTTCAAGAATCCCCTGCAAGAAATGGGACGAAGTGCGCACGCGCGCGTCGTCGCGCGCGCATGCCGAAATCCTTCAAACACCTTCGGTGCCGGAGGGATTTCGCCATCGAGTTTCCAAAGAACATGCAAAAACACAGGGTTTCGCAACACTGATTTGCTAAAAAAGCTTCCGCGCGAGCCTTTGCGAAATCTTAAGAAAACCATAAGATTTTCCAAGATTTTCACAAAATGCTATTCTTCGCATGTCGAAATCTGTCGAACGCCCTTGCGCGTGTGCCGTCGCGAGAATCCTTTGCAAAAAACGGGACGAAGTGCAGATGCGCGCGTCGTCGCGCGCGTATGCCGAAAACCTTCAAAACCCGTCGGTTTCGGAAGGATTTCAAAATCGTGTGCCCAAACAACCCGCAAAAACACAAAGTTTCGCAACACGAATTTTCAACAAAAGCGTGCGCGCGCGCTCTTGCGTCGTCGTCGTCGTCGTCGTCGTCGTCGCCGTCCTCCCTCCTCCCGCGTCGTCGTCGCCAACGTCGCCTACGTCGTCCTCTGTCTTTCCTCGTGTTCGTCGTCGTCGTCCTCTTTGGCGTCGTGGTCGTTTCCGTCGTCGTTGTCGCCGTGGTCGTCCTTCCTCCTCCTCCCTCGTCGTCGTCGTCGTCGTCCGTCGTCGGCGTCTCGTCGTCGTCCCTCCTATTTCGTCGCCGTCGTCGTCGTCGTCGTTGTCGTCGTCGCCTTCCCTCCTCCCTCGTCGTTGTCGTCGTCGGCGTCGCCGTCCTTCCTCCTTCTTCGTCGTTCGCATCGTCGCCGTCCTCCCTCCTCCCTCGTCGTTGTCGTCGTTGTCGTCGTTGTCGCCGTCGTCGTACTTCCTCCTCCCTCGTCGTCGTCTTCGTTGGCGTCGTCGTCGTCGTCGTCGTCTTCGTCATCGTTGGCGTCGGCGTCGTTGTCGTCGTCGAAGTCGTCGGAGACGTCGTCGGTGTCGTCGTAGTCGTTGTCGTCGGTGTCGTCGTAGTCGGGCTTAAGAGGTTTTACAAACCAAGTTGCGGGTGGGTGGGTGGGATGTTTGCAAGAGCGTGGGATGTGTCACATCATAAGTAAAAATCAATCGCACCCATCGATTGAACCGCGTCAACTGCACCAATTAAGGCCATTTAAACAATTTGCACCACATAGATCGCACCACATAGGTTGCACGACATATATTGCACCACGTAGAATGCACGACATCGGTTGCACATCCTAGATCGCACGACCTATAGTTTCCATATAGATTCCACAACATTATATATATATATGTATTACATCGCATAAATTGTACCGCATATTTTGCATACCACAGATTGCACCACGTATATGGGTTCACATGAATTGCACAACATATATAGCTAGAAACAAACTGTTCGGGGTCTTCGCTGGCTGACATTTCTGTTTCGATGTCCAAGGGGTGCACCTCATGCGAAGGGATCGCTGTGAATACGCGACAGAACACGGTCTGAGCTTTCTGCGGCCCTCCTTCACACGTGTCTTGCAACGCTCCTCCGCGCGGTACCGCCGCGGGCGCGGTCGATCAGACCGTATAATGCTCGCGGTCGTCATCGTCCTGGTCGTCGTCGTTACAGTCATGTTGTTCAACCCTCCCAACATATTCGCGCTGCACCTCATCCCTCACCTGATCGTCACAAAACTCCACCACATCGGCCTCTTGACCCCCCCATCGCTCCTGATCGCTTCCTTACGCACGAGCGTACTCGCATCACGCGTCGCCATACAACTTACTCCGCCCAGTGCTACATATGCGAGTAGAGATCAATCCGTGCAAGCCCTTGGAAAAAAATACGGACCAACGAATGGTGCCTGCCTGACGGACTGCGTACACCATCTCATTCACTCGGCCAATCAAACAACTTCCCAACCAATCAATCGGTCCGCCAATCCGCAACTCACTCCTTCACTCAACCATCTCAAGGCTTAGCGAGACTGCACACTGCTGAACCAACTCCTACTGGCCAGCCTGCCACCCCCCACGTGCGAAGCCCCAAA